ATATATATATAATATATATATATATATATATATATATATATATATATATATATATTATATATATATATATATATATATATATATGTATATATATATTATATATATATATTATAATATATATATATATATATATATATATATATATATATATATATATATATATATATATATATATATATATATATATATATATATATATATATATATATATATAATATATATATATATATATATATATATATATATATATATATATATATATATATATATATATATATATATATATATATATATATATATATATATTATATATATATATATATATATATTATATATATATATATATATATATATATATATATATATATATATATATATATATATATATATATATATAATATATATATATATATATATATATATATATATATATATATATATATATATATATATATATATATATATATATATATATATATATATATATATATATATATTATATATATATATATATATATATATATATATATATATATATATATATATATATATATATATATATATATATATATATGCATGTATAATGTGCATAAACATACATGTATATATTGGATTCCTTTTTTTCCCCAAGCCAGGAAAAAAGACAAAAGAAAGGAAAATAAAAACACCATGGTTATATATATAGGCACCATATTTTAATATTCATATTTTTTAAAAAATCAGAAATTCATTGGCATAGTTAGCCAACAAATCCACCCACCTTACATATGGAAGTACTTAGAAGAGCAACATGCAGCAGAGATACTAGGATCATGTCAACTATGAAGTTGATACTGAACCTACAACCCTGTCATACTGTTGTTTTCACAGAACTTTGAATCTTAATCTAAAGAAGTGTCAGTCAACTTCCAAGAATTAGTTTCAGAGCTTTGTGAAATGAAATGCTTTTATAACGAGCTCTACATGATATATATGTGTAAATGAAAGAACGAAAAAGAGCTCTAAAGGATACATATATGTAAATAAAAGAAAGAAAAAAAATACTCTACATGATATATATTTGTAAATAAAAGAAAGACATAAAGTTCATGTAGAAACATAAATCTTTATTTACATAAAAAGAAAGTCTTAAAAGTATAAACTACACTCATCCTGGCTAAAGATTCAGAATAATATATAACAGGCAGTGAAAGTAAGAGTATTTTCATTTATTTTCAGTCAGTAAGAATTATTTGAAAGAAATAGCTTAAAAATTTCTTTTCTTCAGCTCCTTCCTCAAAACAGATATTTTCTAGTTCTTGTACAAAGCAAATACTCCTCTGAAAGGAAATGTTCATCCACCGGAAATGATGAAAAAAAATTCTATATCACTCTCCAGGAAAAAAAAGATCTATTACTCTCCAGTTCTAATGAAAGTAATAACAGTAACATACACAAGTATGAAATTTCAATATCAGCAATGAATACTACTCATTTCATGTTAATTTATCTTGTATATATGAAAGTTAATATTTCATATGAATATATATTTTTCAGATTATGTATTGCCGTTTAAGAGTGAGAAATCACCATTTAGCTTATTTTTGACTACTAGCAGGTTATCATGATTTTATTCTCCCAATGAATAGTCTACTTTTAAAACATTGAAATAAATCTATTGGCTATTTGGTCATTATAATTTTGAAAAGTATAAACTCATTGAAGCCAAGTAGGCAAGAATACATGCCATATCCAGTTTTTTTTGTTTTTTTTTTGGTTATTAATTCTTTACACAAATGGCTCTACAAGTGCTTATTCACTAATAACTAATTGTATATATCTCACCTGATTTTTTCCTTTTTTTTTCTTATTATTGCCAATTACCAATTGCATCTATCTTATCTATTTTTTTAATTATTATCACCAATAACTAGTTGTATCTATCTCACCAGATTTTTTAAAATTTGATGTCAATAAAATTATCATCTTAATATCAGTTATTAACATTGATATTAATGGCATCAGAATATTTTTTTGCATAAACTTAAGGAAAGATAAAATTAGATAGGTCTTGTAGGCATACTATGGCTCCTTTGGTGGCTGAGCACTTGTAGAGCCATCTATATGCAAACGAAACTCGCAAAAGAAAAATACAGTCGACAATATATTTATCCGACAGCAATGGATTAATCATGGAAATTTATCCTTATTATCTCTCCTTTCAAAATTTACTTTTCAAACTCTGCTCAACATGTGAAAGATTCAAAAACTCATAAAAGCTTAGCAGTAGCATGTAAGTTTCATTATTCTGTTTTCAAAACTGTGTATCTCTGTATGAAGGCACAGTTATTGAGCATGTAGATTTAATGGTTCTATAAAATTTTGATTACTATTCCATTTCATTTTTTGTGTATTTTTCCTAGATAATAGTAAATGGAACATCATAAAGCCCCTATAAAAAAGGAATGTCAACTTAATATCTTTAGGAAATAAATATACATCAAATCTCTTCTACTGATTGTTTTCGGTCCTTTTGTAATCACGCAATAAATCTCCAGCTTTCCCATCACTTGCAACTATTCAAGAATAATAAAAAAAATTAAAAACAGACAACTCAATTTGTTATGTCAACTGTTCACTTCCCCGTATATTGCTGGTTGTCTAAGTTGTTTCAAATCAGGCATGGAAAATGAAGTAAAAATGACATGACACGAATACAATTTTAATTCCTAAGTGTGAGAATGAACTTGGACAAAGAATACTGTGTTAGTCATTATCAATTTGTTCTTCTCTGGCAACATCTTTAATTGCTAACAGAAGGCCTGTCTACTCAACACTATATTTAATTTATTTGGATAAAAAAGGAAAGAAAACAAAAGTTGAGAGAGTCTAAATGAGTCTGTTTCTTAGCTGTAGCATAGCGTAGCATAGTGTAGCGTAGTGTAGTGTAGTGTAGCGTAGTGTAGTGTAGTGTAGTGTAGTGTGTGTGTGTGTGTGTGTGTGTGTGTGTGTGTGTGTGTGTGTGGTGTGTGTGTGTGTGTGTGTGTGTGTGTGTGTGTGTGTGTGTGTGTGTGTGTACACACGTGCATGTGCACATGTGTGCCTATGTGTATGTACACGGGTGCATATTTTGCACACATACACATACAACAAAAATGATAGGAAAAAAATGAAAGCATGCATCTATAAGAATAACCACAGGTAATTTCCTCTGAATTTTGTATAAAAAAAAAAAAAAAAAAAAAAAATCACAGCATTGGGTTGGTAAGGCTCTCAAGACCCATTTTCAGATTCTGAACCTGTAGGCAGAGATGAGGTAGAGGAACAAGTTAAGATGGTCACGGATGACGACATCATATCATGTCAAGTAAGTATGGGGCTCGCAGAGCCCAATTTTCAATGACTCAAATAAGTCTTTGATAATCATAGCAGATATGTCCAAAAATGATATCAGAAAGCCCTTTGAGAATGTGAGTGAAATAATATGTGTAAAGTACTCACACTAACTACAAATGGCCAGAAAACTGATCATTTATCCACACATCAACTGTATATTTTATATATCAGCTCTACAATATATACTGCCAGAGTCATTCAGCTACAAAAGGCCCTCAGTAAATACCTCAGTACTACGAGTATGAGGATGATCCATGCATGAACTTGTATGTTATAATCACCTAAATCACACAACACAAACACATCATCATCACACTGGAATATTCAATTAATTATACTTATATTACACATCAATTTGGCTGTTAATGTCCTTATCCAAAATATAAATAACCTTTGATGCAATGGCCATATTGCACACATTCGTAACTTCAATTTCTACTTTCTTAGTGTGTAAGAAATGAAGATAGTATATATAACAATAAGGTGACATATATACTTCATATGGCCACATGAACAAGAGAAAACACAAAGATGAAAATAAAAATATAAAAAACAAATACGAATCTTGTTTTATAATTCCTCTTTTTAATGTTTATATTTTTTATGCAAATAATCCATGTCACTAAGAAAAATAGTGATAAAGATGATGATAAAAGCAATCATAACAACAAAAATAATAAATGATAAAATTTATATAATCAATAATTTTGATGATGATGATGATGATGATGATAATAATAATAATAATAATAATAATAATAATAATAATAATAATAATAATAATAATAATAATAATAACAACAATAACAAAATAATAATGATAATAATAATAATGATGATAACAATAACAATAATAACAATATTAATAATAACAATTATACTACTAATAATAATAACAATAATAATAATAATAATAAAAATAAAAATAATAATGATTACAAAGAATTTTCAATTACAGTCTTATCTATTTATCTGACTGTTTTTCTATAAGAATATCAACTTTTCTTTTCACATTATGCATGCCTTTGTGTCACAGATACAGTGTGTACATTAGTAAAATGTTAGTAACTCTAAAAATGACAATATCCTTATTTTTACACATGAACATCATGTTTTGCATTAATCACTCAATCTGCTTCACATCTTGATAGTCTTAACACTTTACCACCCAGAAAGAAAATTCATTGGCTACATATACTATCATATGAACCCAGATGTCGGGTATTCGCAAAAGGACATACGTGACGGCATAAGCATCATATAAAGAGATGCCAGACAAGGAAGATATTCAGGGTAAATAAATGTTTTGAATGCAAAGACGTTTTACTGTAAGAATACGTTGAAATGAGGAAAAATGTATTTGCCAGTTGGACCCACCCTTGAGCGGTAAAGGGTTAAAGAAATAAAGGAAAGAGATAAGGAAAGTGAGACTACAAACAGACATATGAATTCCCTATAATAAATATTGGCATTTAAAGGCTAATCAATATAAAAGCACTTGAACAGGAAGAAGAAAATATATGTTTATATATATATATATATATATATATATATATATATATATATATATATATATATATATATATATATATATATATATATATATATATATATATATATATATATATATATATATATATGTATCACACAAAAGAAAGCCCTTCATTTTAATATTGAAATGAAGTAATTGTTACAGAACGATTGCTTTTTCCTTTACATTCACACCAATGAATCAAGAGTTTTTTTGCATCTAATCTTATGGATAAAAAAAATCTAGACCTACATTGTCAGGGAAAGACATTAAATAAATATAAAAAAACTGAATAAGTACACAGATAAACGATATTCAGAAAGAGAAATGAAAGCCCTACATGAATATATGAAGTACAAAAAAACCTATCTTGTAAATGATCAATCCCTATCTAACACTAACAATGTTCATAATGAGGCATATGAATTGCAAAAAAAAAAAAAAAGGAATATGTATGAAGCATCATTTAAATGCTGTGCTATCAATGGTTATCAAACATATACCCAATTACACTGCTTAGTCAAGAAAATTATATGGTTGATGCACTGACTCCAATACAGAGCAATATGTTTTCTATCAACCTTCCTGTCTCCTCGAACTTGGCATGATTTACAACTTAAGGTAGTAATTATTTACATACCAATTAATTCTCTATCGATCTTCCTCTTCCTATTCCCTCAAACATAGCATGATTTACAACAGAAGGTAATAATTATTTACATACCAATCAATTACATTTTCAAACAAAGAAAAAAAAGACTTCAGTGCATTATGCAAGGAGTATACAAACTCGATGGGTCTTGCATTCTCACAAACATCTCAAAGACATAACATTAGCACCAAAAATTCCATTATTTACTTTGATAGTCCTACATCACACATAAGGAGGCTAAATATGCCAGTCTCTGTTTAATGAGTTACATACTAACAAAGATTTTTTTGTAAATCTAAATATAGAATCTGGTCCCAATATTTCTAATAGTCTGATTAAGAAAGCTTAATATGAGTGACTGCTTAAGAAATACCAATGAGGAGATATAATGAATCTGATGTCAAATAGTGTTAATGAATACCCTGAAATTCATTTTCTAAGACAATGTAAAATCATTTTAAAAATGAAACAAAAGAAAATGAGAAGTATACAAACATCCGAAGAAAACTGCTCAATGGCACAGTAGTTTTCAAATTTATGCAGAGCAGATGTTCAATCCTTTTAAAAGCCTTCACACTAAACAAAATGTAGTGCATTAGTACTTTTTTTCTACACAGCCATCTGTTTTGCAAAATCTTAATGAGCGCCTCCCCAGCTTTGACAATAAGTTGTGCCTTCATCAACCTCTATAAGCACATTCAGTTTATGCCATTTTTTCCAAAATTTTGGCTATTTACTGCACTGTGTTGGAGTTAACTTGTTTGGCGAGCTTCTTGGCTTGAATTCTCCAAATGCAAGGGATGAAGAACAACATCAGTCCTGAGACAGCTATCATACTGCCAGCAAGAAGGAAACTGTAGTCATAGGAGCCAGTCAGATCAAAGAGTGCACCTGAAAAAGAGGAGATATAAAAAAGGATGTGTTAAGCAAGATCATTATGTAAAAAGAAAGCTATTTCTAATTCACAAACACAATCACATAACCATCACAAAAAGACACACATACAGATAAATGTAAGGATCATACAAATGGCATACAGATTTTCACGATCATAATACTTACCACACATCGGTGGGCCCAAAACAGAAGCAATGCCTTGGAACATAAGGAGAAGACCAAAGGCATTTGTGAGTCTCTCCATCCCCAACAGATCCACAAGCACAACAGATGTCAGTCCAACATACGCGCCTGACATGGATCCGAAGACTATTGCGTAAAAGATCTGGGACGCATAACTATAAAACCAAATGCTCATACAGGTACCTGTTAATAAGAAAAGAGAAAAGATTACTTCCTTTCCTAGGAATAGGATTAAATTATCAGACTTTGCATAAAGGAACATATTTCAAGAACAATATAAAAATAGAAGTGATATTATTTCTACTCTATCTGCATATAACACAGAAAACCATTGCTAATTATACATATACAAAATTTTAGTGTGGATGACGGAATCATTTTATTCTTTACACTATTTAACACTTATTTCTGATATTCAACCCTGACTGTGTTTTCTGACAAAAATTTCTCTTCTCTTTTTATTATATTCCAAAATGGTGCTAAAAAACTATGAAGTGCATTTTAAGGGGACCATCCCTAAAAAAAAAATCAGTTTTAATATAAAAAAAATAATAATCTACCAATTTACTTCAGCCTTCTGCACCTTTTGTTACAAAATTTGTACAAATCCCCCAAAAGGGAGCAAAGCCCCCATGTAAAATTCCCCCTGCAATTTTTTCCACATATGTCGCTTGCTTATTGCTATTGGCCCACATTGTTGCATACTTTATGATAAGAAAAAAATCAGCATAACCATCAATATAGCACCCAATGAGACTGGCAGAGTTGTTGTTTTTTCAAAGTTTGCCTTAGTTTCCTAAAAAAAATACCTTTTTCATACTTTAAAATATTTGACAAAAAAAGAAGAAGAAGAAGAAGAAGAAGAAGAAGAATTGTAATTGTGTACAATTGTGTACATATATATATATATATATATATATATATATATATATATATATATATATAATATAATATATATATATATATATATATATATATATATATATATAGATATAGATATAGATATAGATATAGATATAGATATAGATATTATAGATATAGATATAGATATAGATATAGATATAGGATATCATATATAAAATGTGTATATGCATATATAAATGCTTGTATATGTGTAAGCCTGTGTGCATGCATACCCATGTATACAGGTGTGCAGAGATAATGAGAAATGCTTAGAGTAACTAGCGGTTCATAGTTACCGAGTAACCTTGAGTCGTTACTTTATTCATTAGAAATAACCATTTACAAAACATTGATATTTTAAAATATAAACTCAGCAGTGTCTGTTTCCCATAGATATTTCTTTTCTTAGCCTAATAACATAAACATTAATTATCTTAAGGGGTATTTGACATTTTATGTGGGATCTTTAGCCTTTATATGCTTCAGTCGTTTATACTTAGTATGAGGTAGCTACATTTTTACTATTACGGGTTTTCTCGATTGCTTCGGCTCCAATTAACACAAAAAGCATGAAAAATCTCTGAATTATCCTAAACAAACAACTCGTGTTCCTTTATTCTTTGAGATAGGAGACTCACCACAGCATATGCATTATTGTTGAACCCTAATGTTATATATATAATGTCTATGTCAGATTCAAATGATATCTACCACATATTATAATGAAAAAGACATGAAAAATTGTTTGATGATTTTTAGATTTTCTTAATTTTTTCATCATAAAACCCTCACATTGGTAGGAATTTGTTATCATTAGAATTTTTCATCCTCCAGTGACTTATTTCATTAAATAACGTCAAAATACGATTCATTTTCACTCTAGTAGGGGATAAATATATACATGTAAAAATTCCTGACGCCTTATCCGAGTGTCTTGGATTCACAAACCCCATCACAGCCGTGTTTTTCTTCACGGAGGTTTTATATTCACATGGGTAATTCTACGATCCTATATGAGTGTGAAAATGGGTATAGCTCATTTCTGACAAACCCAAAACCCCAAGCCCATCTACCCCAATCAAACTTAGGGATCGTCCCCTTAATAACCATTTCTTTTCTGTTACAAGCTACACATAATTAGATCCAATGTTTTGATATCCATTTGTAGTAAGGCAAACACTGAAATAAATAATTCATACAAAAACAAGTATTTATAAATTTTCACAAAAGTTTATAAAAAAATTAAGAGATAAATAATAAAAGAAAGAAAAAGATTAATCCATCCTAAATACTGATGTAAGACCACTTACCAATGCCACAGAGGGTGAGAGCTATATTGTAGAGGTAAAGGCGATTGACCCAAGGCTGATCAGAAATATAACCAAGCAAGATACGGCTCACTGTATTAGAAATGCCAATGACTGACAACAGATATGAGGAGTCCTTGTTAGGGATACCGAGCTGTTGGGCGCGATCCTGTAAGGCAAGTGTCCTGTTTTGTAACTTCTTTTAACAGTAATGCTTTTGTTAAAACATATGTTCTTATTTACAAAATTCTTTCTTACAAAAAATATTTCCAAGTTGCTAATACCTCCTGGAATTATATCATGACATTATACATTATATAGCTTCTGTAATAATAATCTTACCATTTTGCAAATATATGAATATATCAGAACTCAATAAAGACTAGTTCTCTGTATATCAGTTGCAGATATAAAAGAGGTAATAGTCATTACACACTAAGGACAAAACTCACCACAATGAAAATATAAGGGGCATTGAATCCAATGGATGTACAAAAGTTGGAGAAGGCAAAGAGGATGAATATTCCATCAACAAGAAGCTCCCAATCCATAAGGCTCTTCATGGCATCTCGTGTCTCCCTAGAGCATGGCACACATCCACACAACTGCAAGAAATTTCTGTTAAATGACTGAAGGACTCAACCTTACATTTCATTGTTTGAATTAATAAGTAGTGAAACAATATGCACAGTAAAGTTATAAAAAATGCATCAGATTGTTCACATCATACCACATAGCTTCGGCAACCTTAAGAAAAGTTTAAAAGTTTCATAACTAAAAGCATTGTAAATCTTATTACAAAATATTCTCTATTACACTGTGAAAATATTTTTGGATCAACCAATAAATTTGAAGTATCTTAATCCAGATGATTAAAAAATTTTGGGTGTACCGCCAGGAAATGTTCAGTCTAACTTAGAGAAGAGAAAAGAGCATTCTAAATGCTATAAATTTGTAGAATCTTATAAAAATCAAAGAAACTGAAAATGTGAATAACCATTACATCTGCTTCAGTGCATCAAAGTGTATTAATACAGATCATGGATAAAAAAAAAATCACAAACATAAAGAAAATATATTCCTGTAAACAAAAGTGTACAATACATGTGAGACTGTCACTGTGTCTTACTAACTGACCTTTGCTTTTTCCACTTCACTGGGTGTCTCCTCTGTATCTGGGAGCCTGGCCATAGATGCCCTATAACTGCTTGGATTCTGTCTGAGAGGGAAAGTAGGAATTACTAAAGGACTCTCTATTGGTTTGGATGCTGCAATCCCAAGTTCTAAGTTTGGGCATATTTTAAGTAGGGTTCTACTCCAAAGGTAAGATCTACAAAGGTTCAAGGATAAGGAGAACAAGGAAACCAAAGTTTAGCATTGGATTTCACTGAAAATCCAATCTAAGAGATTAAAGAAAAACAAGTGCTGTCTGAAAGAGGGGAATATTAAAGGGTGTATCTCTGACATGGCACTAAAAGGTTGGTTGCTCATTGCACAGAGGGTCTAATTCATAGATAAATTTAATACTCAAGAGGAAAAAATAATTATGGAAGAACCTTGCAAAATGTACATGTTAAAATGGAAATTAGTAGAAGAACCATAAATGTATGGAATAGGAGTGATACTTTGTACTAATCAAAACATGCAACATTTTTTTGGTGTTTAATGAAAGATTTTATTCAACTTTTCTCTCTCTTGGCAAGAAAGCAGAGACATGAAATAGAAATAGCCTTTTCCCACCTAACAATTACAAGTTGTAACAGATTAATTAATAAGTTAATATATTTCACGGAGGAATATCCAGAGGTTAATTGATACTAAAAAAGGGAAAACCAACTACTTACTTGTATTCCCGGATGTTGAGCAAAGAACCCCTGTAGAAGATGTCTTTGCGGTACAAGAGACCTGAGCCATGGTGGGACGAGGGCAAGCTGCCACTCTTCCGTGCTTGGCTGTGGGTGCTCTCCAGGCCACCAGAAATAAATCCTTGCTTCTCAGGCACAGGCAACACTGGGAAAATATAAGGAAAATATAACAAATGCCAAGGGGTTGAATGTATTATAATAAATATTACTTTCCTTTGTTCAATATTTCAGGAATCTCAATTCAGAAGGAAAATATTTGGGAGAAATATAAAGGAAATTTTGAGAAAGAGAGATAATTATATAATAAACACTATTTTGGCCTTCGAATGCCATAATTCCAGAGAAAAAAAAATGAACAAGTAGATGAATAGATAAAATAGTGCGTACAATGGGCCGGCCATTCTTGTTGCCTCAGCATTTTTCAGATTCTGAAGCATGGGGTTGATGTTGCCATGAGAACTAATACGCTGGATATTGCTTGGGGTGTGGCTTTGCAGAACCAAGTTGGCATCACTGAAATTTTTCTTGAGTTCACTATTATCACTTGTGAACTGTAAAAAAAAAGAGAGAAAAAAAAAAGGAAAAAAATTAAAATGGTGATTATAGCATATAAAGTATCTTTGACGAATATTTTTAAAAATAGTCGAATTTTTTTTTTTTTTAATCTTGTGTAATCTAGTAGGCTTTGGCAAACCACTGACCTAATATTTCTGCTAAATACGTAAGAATAAAGGAGTAATGACTAACTATCTGACCCCCCCCGCCCCCCACTTCTCGCTCCGATGTTTACCTTCTTGCGTCCATGCAAATATACTCGACATAATTGTTTTTTCCTGATTTTTTTCAATATATTTTGGTGTTTTCTGGTAGCTAGCTGGCAACTCTGTTTACCCATCTGCTGATCGCCAAGACTGGGACTCTGGGAGACAAGATGTTGCCATTATAGGAAACAAAATGTTAATAGCTCCTACCTCCACGACACATCTTGCAGACGTACGCCCTCATTACACAGTAAAGGGACACAACTAATGGTAAATGTTATTTTCGTATCTAATAAACATTTTATGAAAAGAAATAAATCTGAATCACAGCTGCAGCAGTTGTTTATACTTATGAAATACCTCACATAGTCAGGTTAGACATTGCGAAGTCTGTGATGACAAGCACTAATTCTACAATCATGTGCAGTTATTGCCATAAGTACTTTGCAAAAGGGGGGGACCAGGTACCAGCTACACTTCAGAATACCATGTGAATGCCATAGAATGCAGCAAGATTGTCGCAGAGATAAGAATTCTAAAAAAAACAGAAAAAAAAAAAAAAAATTGAGGGAAAAGTCTCCTAAACTTTGGAGCCCGATATCTCAAAACTACACATTTGTCAACATTCTTTTTTATTTCTCCATAACTATTTGGAGATTCTAATGGGGTTTGGGTCATTTGAAAGCTGAATAAATTAGCCATTTTTTACATTATGGATATTTTCATTCACTTAAAAGAAGTCCATATCTTGAGTTCATAAGACTGAGCATTTAGAAAACAATAAATTCCCACTAAACTAAAAGGAAATCAAAGATCCGTATAATCGAGACTTTTTGTTTTGTTACAGAGTATATGTGGTATTTTTTTCAACAAGTTTGGTTAATGGATAAAGTGTGAATATCAAACTTTGTGATTTTTCACAAACTCGTTTTTCTTAAATAACGCCATTGTTTATTATTCAAATGGTATGAAACTTGGTGGTGGTTATCAGCGTATATGTATGTAAATTATATTTAAAAATCGCGA